TCTCAAAAATAACCAGAACAAGCTGGTTGCTAGTGTCTCATGCCTGTAATCCTAGCAGTTTAGGAGTCTGAAATCTGAGGATCATGTTGGAAGTCAGCCTGGGCAAAATACATGAGATTCCTATCTCTAGTAAGCCAACAAAAAAAAACAGAAGTGGGTCCATCGCGCAAGTGGTAGAGCACTAACCCCAAGTGAAAGGCTAGGGGTCAGTGCCCAGGCTCTTGAGTTCATACGCAAGTATTGGTACAGAAAAAGGGGCTGAGGGCATGGCTCAAATGGTAGAGCTCCTCCTGCCTAGTAAATATGAGGTGAATTCAAACTTCAGCACTGTAAACAAAACAGAAAAGACATCAAGTTGTCTGAAATCATCTTGTAACCTTTAGATACCTGCATGGGTAATGGCTACTCAGAGTCCTGTTCAGAGAATTAAATCTCTGTGGTGTGCAGTAAACTTTGTGTAGAGGACAGTGTGCAGGTTATTTATTGCTATGTAATGAATTGCCATAAACTTAGCTGCTCAAAATAAAGCCTTTTTTGTGGGTCAGGACTCTGCTAGAACTTACCTGAGCATGCTCCTCTGCTCCAGGGTCTTATACGGGCTGTAATTCAGAGTGGTATTCCAGGCTGAAGTTTCCTCCTCTGAAGGAGGGTGTGCTTCCAAGCTCACGTGGTAACTGGCAGAATTTCAGCTCCTACAGGAAGAACTAGCAGCCTCAGTTCTTCTCCATTTGTTGGCTGGAGTCCTCACTCACATTCTGATAACCTAGCAGATTTCTTTTATCAAATATAACAAGAATTATTGAGTCTTGTAGGAAGATAGAAGTCACCATCCTGTGTAACCCAGTTGTGCAAACCTATCACCTTTACCACATTCTGACGGCTAAAGACAAATCACAGTTCCCTCTAAGACACAAGGGAAGCCACATCAGCAGGTGGCGTGTGCCACAGACAGGAAGGGAGCATATACCATGGTGAAGAGCTGACTTGCCATTTGCTGTGACGCGGGAGGGTGGCTGGCCTCTCTGAGCCACCTGGGAGCCTAAATGAGAGATCACGTGCGCACTCAGTAAATGTCAGCTCCTGGCTCTTCTTCGTATCTTTGCTTTGTTGCCCTCTCTTGAAATAACATTTGACTTTTGAATTTCTGAAGAGTAGCACTCCCTGGTGCCCTTGGATGTGGTTATTCATGTGGCTCCCAGGCACAGAGCTGTGCCAGACTGGCTGTGCAGCTTCCCCTCTTTGCCCAAGGGCCTCAGGACTTGGGCCTCAGGGGGAGACCAGAGCTCCCGGCCAGTGTGATCACCCCAGAGCTCCCTGCCAGTGTGATCACCCCAGAGCTCCCTGCCAGTGTGATCACCCCAGAGCTCCCTGCCAGTGTGATCACCCCAGAGCTCTCAGCCAGTGTGATCACCCCAGAGCTCCCGGCCAGTGTGATCACCCCAGAGCTCTCAGCCAGTGTGATCACCCCAGAGCTCCCGGCCAGTGTGATCACCCCAGAGCTCCCGGCCAGTGTGATCACCCCAGAGCTCCCTGCCAGTGTGATCACCCCAGAGCTCCCGGCCAGCGTGATCACCCCAGAGCTCCCGGCCAGCGTGATCACCCCAGAGCTCCCGGCCAGCGTGATCACCCCAGAGCTCCCGGCCAGCGTGATCACCTCAGAGCTCCCTGCCAGTGTGATCACCCCAGAGCTCCCGGCCAGTGTGATCACCCCAGAGCTCCCGGCCAGTGTGATCACCCCAGAGCTCCCGGCCAGTGTGATCACCTCAGAGCTCTCAGCCAGTGTGATCACCCCAGAGCTCCCTGCCAGTGTGATCACCTCAGAGCTCTCAGCCAGTGTGATCACCCCAGAGCTCCCGGCCAGTGTGATCACCTCAGAGCAGGACAGGCAGGACTGACTGCGGGGACCCTCTTGGTCTCTCCTAGCAGCCACTACCCTTGCAGACAGTCTTTGGTGACCAAGGTCCAGCTTGAACCTCCAGGCCGCACCGCGTCTTTCCACTTCCAATTATGGCCCCCAGGGCATCCCACTGAGCTGGGAAGGCAGATTTGGAGATGGGGCCTCTGGATGTCCACCTTGACCTTCAAGTCTTGTTAAGGGATGCCTCATCAGAAAGCTCTACCATTGTCTGACCTCCTCTGCCCCTGCCCTCCCTCTCTCTCTACTTTGCTTTCCTCGCTTCCTCGTTCCTATAAGCCTCAGGGACACGGAGGACTTGCAGAGGGTCCTGTCTGGCCACCTGCACCCCCTCTCCACACTTCTTTCTGACCAAGGTATCTCTGCCTCCCTTCATGTCCTCTACACTTTCACATCCAGGGGTCCTGCTCTTGGCCCCCCGGTTGTCCCCAGAGCTGTTGGAGACCTTCTAGGGGCATGTTGCAGCACATGGCAGGCGGGGGGAGATGCTGGGTACAGGCACTCGAGGGTGTTTCCTCTTTTTTCCCCTGAATCATCTGGTCAGTGTGACCATCTTCTCACCTTCCTTGAGGATAACAAACATCTGTGACTCTTGTAAGAAGCAGCTCTCCCGGCTTCTTCCCTGAAGAAGCTTTCAGGAGTGTGGTCGCAGGGCCTGGGAACTTGTATTTTTAGTAAGTTTCCCCTAGTTCTTGTCATGAAAGCTTAGATCCAGTCCCTGCTTGGTGTGGGGCATTGGAAGGAATGTCTGAAAGCCTGTGTCCCTCCCCAGCAAGGGCCTATGACTCGTGGCCTAGGGTCAGTACTGTGGGAGAGCAAGGCAAAGACTTTAGTATAATTGTATTCCCTTGAAATTTTTCTGTAGTGACTGAGGTCTCTTCTGGGAGGAAGTGTCCACTTAGATGACTAGGAAAATAGGAGGCTGGTTTAATAGTGGCACAGCTGAGCCATGCAGACATCAGACTTCAGACATGGCCATGAGTATATGTTTCCCACAGCCTGACCTCCTGACAACGGATGTGAGAAACGATGGTTGAATACTCTTCTTATTTCTGTCACTCACACCCACTTGCTAGAAGGGTGTCTGTGTAGGATGGAGTAGGTGGGTGAACTTGTTCATTTTGAGGGGGAATTGTCCCAGAGGGACTTTCTCTATTCCTAGGTTCTGTGATCAAGGAATGTTAGCTCCTGCCTACTCTGGATGCTGGCTCTAGAGCGGCTGCGCTGAAGCGGCAGTCAAGCCCTCTGAGAAGTAGTCTCAAAGCTTTCTGTGTTCCTCCAAAACCGGGCCAGTAGTCTCGGCATTGGTCAGTATGCCTTGCATGCAACTCAAATGCAAATTGCTTTTCTAGGAAGTTTCCTCTTGAGAGCTTTCTTTCCGACAACAAATATGTGGGCAGGATGGCTCAAAGACTGTTTTGCCTAAAACTACTTCATCTGGAGAGCAGAGTGCTTGAAGTTCACCTTCCCTTTAGATTCTTTGACTTGTGATTCTATTCTCTCCTGTCATCTCTTTTGATATCATAGGGATCTTAAATTTTAATTTGACTAAACTAAAATTAAAGCTTTTCATTTAATTTTATACCACTAAAGTATTAAATCTGAAGCATTTTATTCATTTATTTTTACATGCTGGTTATTCTTTTGTCTTATTTTGGACACTTTCAATGTTTTTTTTTATTGTAAAAATGCTGTACAGAGGGGTTACAGTTACCTGAGCAAAGTAATGAGTACATTTCCTATTGAGCATTGTTGCCTCCTCCTTTGTTTTCCCCTACCTTCCCTTCCCTCCCACCTCCACAACTGCCTCCTCTCCCCGGAAGTTATAAAGTTTGTTTTCAATATGCTGTTTTATGCATCTCATTGTTACAGTGAGTCAACCTGTGTCCTTCCTGAAGCATTTTGCCCCCCCTCATTCAATCGGTTCTGAGACAATTTGCCTTGTGGAACCCTCAGAAAGGAGTATAGTTTGTACTACATTGTAGCTCCTTTAAATGTTTGCCATGCAGTGAACTCTGCTACAGTTCTTAATCATCTTCCTTCTTTCTTAATGCTTATTGTCAGTATCTAATTCACCACTAAACAGAAAGATAGATAGATATTGTGTTAATGTGGCTAGCATGTAGCAAGCATGTCTCAGGAAGAGTTTGTGGGGATGTGAGTTAAGCACCAGCAGTGATATAGAGAGATGGTTTTGATGAATTCTACATAAAGTTCAAAAGTTTTTACAAGGTAGGGGTACATTAAAGTTATGGCCAAGTTGATCCTAAATGCAAACTACAAGTAAATTGAACAGATTCCAACAAGAGGGCTTGACGGTATGGCCAGAGCCTGCCTACCAAGTGCCGGTCCCTGAGTTCAACCCAGTACTTCAAGAAATGCTGCAGCCCAGGTACCTGTGGCTCATGCTTGTAATCCTACCTATTTGGGAGGCTGATACTGGCAAAGGCTTGCAAGACAGGGTATGTTGGCACACCTCTCACACCAGCTGCAGCTTGGGGTGTTGATGGAGGATCCCAGTGAGGCTGGCCTGGGCAAAAGAGGGCCCTTATCTCAAAAGTCAACCAGCCACCAGCAAGCGTGAAACCTGTTCAAGCCCCAGTACAACAGGCAGGGGGGTGGAAAAAGGAAAGAAAACTAAGAAACAAAAATTGAGTACTTAGTAGAAATATAGTATGCTTCTGCAAATAGAAGACCCTTCAATTGTTGCAGAATCTCCCCAGAATGAATTTGTCTAAAAATGTTTTTAAAATGAATTGGTTCAAAGTCCTGCAAATGGCAAGTGGACGTCGGGGAAGGAGTGAGGCCCTTGATGGGGGAGCAGAACTTCAAGATGGTGCAGCGTAGGCCAATTGCTACAGGGCCACTTGCCCTGCAGCCTCGGGTGGCAGCGCCAAACTGCAGGTTGCAGAAATGACTTACTGGTGTTTCTACCTCTTCTCTTTCCTCTCCTTGTTTTAATTGTCCTCATGCATATATATCTTTACCAATGAGCTATTTAAAATCTTTTGGGGGCTGTAGGTGGCCTAGAAATCATTATACATTAGGTCATGTTCCGTCAATTCACACGCCTGTCTTGTTGCAGAGAACAGCCCATCTTCACCACCCGAGCGCATGTCTTCCAGATTGACCCCAGCACCAAGAAGAACTGGGTGCCTGCAAGCAAGCAAGCAGTCACTGTTTCCTACTTCTACGATGTCACGAGAAACAGCTACCGGATCATCAGTGTGGATGGAGCCAAGGTACTGCCCCGGCTGCTCACCTTGCGGTCTTCACCTGTCCTTATCAGAACAGTGGTGCATTTGACAAAGGAAGGGAAGAAGGCGCACCCCAAATCGTGGCATCTTCACATGAAAGTTATAATCAGGGTGTCTGCACAATCATATACCCCACTGGAGTTTCCCACTTAAAATTATGGCAAATGATTAAAAAGAGATTTCCCTGTTAGCACACTGTCTTCATAACTAATACTTTAATGTCTGTGTAATGGTTACATCAAGGGCTCTTAATTTCTCTACCATGGTTAGATATTTAAATGGCCTCCTTTTTTTTTTTAACTACTGTAGACAATGAGCCATTTTCATGTACTAGATTTCCATAGATGTTTGTCATAAACCTATTGCTTTCCTTGACTGTTTCCCTAGTATAGATCCTGGAAGTAATATTCTAGGCCATAGTAACATTTTTTGGCCCCGAATGCATGGTGTCAAATTGCTTGCCAAGAATTTCTCCCATCATGTGTGAGATGCCAGTTTATTGTATCCTTGCCAGTGTTGAGTAGGACCTCATCTTATCTAGTATGACATGAGAGTCACATTCTATCAAATCAGTTTGAAGTATCTCTTCAAACATTTCCCCCCCTGGTTCTTTGGTTATTATGTTGTTTTTGCTGGGTTTTTTCCTCTTTTTTTTTTTTTTTTTTTAATGTCGGGCGTGGAGCTTGAACTGTGGGCCTGGGCGCTGTCCCTCAGCTCTTCAGCTCAAGGCTAATGCCCTACCACTTGAGCCACAGCACTACTTCTGGTCTTCTGATGGTTACTTGGAGATAAAAGTCTCACAGACTTTCCTGCCCAGGCTGGCTTTGAACTGCGATCCTCAGATCTCAGCCTCCTGAGTAGCTAGGATGACAGGTGTGAGCCACTGGCACCCAGCTTCCATATTTTTACTACATAATATGGAAGTGATGCTAGCAGAAGTACCACTAAGTCTTAAAAAAAAAAAAAAGTAAAGACAGAACCATCTGCTTTATCGTCTTTCTTTGTCTTTTATCTGTGTCCATTGTACTGAACCCTTTTACAGGCTCTTACAGAAATTCATTGTGTCTGAAGACAAACTTTATTTGCCCTCTAAACTTCCTTTCCTTTTATTTCCCTATTATTTGACATAGAAGACAAAATGGAGAGACATGTCTATTTAAGTTTGTAAATTGAATCAGCTGCTGAAGTGTCTCACTTATGTGTCTTCTGTTTTAAGACCGTAACTCTTGTTCTGGGCAGCCTTACTTAGACCTCTGGTTGACTTCTCGTCTCTTCTCTTCAGTCTTTCCTGACTTTTACCTGTAGTATAGGCCACAGGATGTAGGGAAGCTGGGAGCTGGACAATAGAATGATGTGAGCTTCTCCCCCAACTCTGCAGAGGACAGTGAATGGGGAAGGCGCCGCAGGAAAATCCCCAGTAGGGCATGAGAGCACCATGTCGCTCCTGGTCTAACGCCGCCCCATCTCAAGGCAAGTCCTCCCTTCAGCTCACGTTCTGAGTGCCTTTGTGCTTTCAGCACTACAGAGATGACTGCAGAGAAAGTCACCATGGCCCCTGGTCCCTGTGCCACAACCCTTCATTTTCCTCAAGAAGGCATCTCAGAAATCCTCATTTGAGAGGCCCCAGCCTGGCTCAGGTCAGGTGTGAGGGAGGTGCGGTGGGCCGGTGTGGTGCTGAGATCGAGCTTCCCCGGACGGTGGAGGAGCGCTCCTGACACCTGTATGCAGTGCTGTGTGACCCTTTCATTTAGAAAGTGACCATGTTCAGAGGCAGTTTCCCCACTTCGGCAGTTGACACAATGGCACAGGGGAGCGAGCAGGGTGTTAGTAAGGAAGCGTGACAGTACCTGGCACAGAGGAGGCGGTGCCTCATTTTTGATCAATGAATATTTGAAAGGCACCTTCATTTTAAACTTTATTGAATTGAAATGTTTTGGCAGTATCAGGGTCTTCTGCTTGCCAGGTAAGTGCTCTACCACTGAGCCATGCCTGTAATCCTTTTTTTTGCTAGTTAATATGTCTGTGTGTGTGCATTCACGTGCACCCAAGTGCATGCCTGTGTGTGCCCACCAGTCCTGAGTCTTGAACTCGGGGCCTGGGCACTGTCCCTGAGCTTTTTTTCCTCAAAGCTAGTACTCTAGGGGGCTGGGAAGGTGGCTCAGTGGTAGAGCACTTGCCTTGCATGCCTGAGGCCCTGAGTTCGATTCCTCAGCACCACATAAGCAAAAAGAAAAAAGCCGGAAGTGGCGCTGTGGCTCAAGTGGTAGAGCGCTAGCCTTGAGCTGAAGAGCTGAGGGACAGCGCCCAGGCCCAGCGTTCAGGCCCCACGACCGGACCCAAAAAAAAAAAAAAACTAGTACTCTACTACTTGAGTCACAGCTCCACTTCCAGCTGTTTTGATAGTTAAGTAGAGATAAGAATCTCATTGGGGCTGGGAATGTGGCTTGGTAGGCAAATACTATACCACTATGTATGAAGTTCTGGATTTGATTCTTCAGTGCCACATAAACAAAAAGCCGGAAGTGGCGCTGTGGCTCAAGTGATAGAGTCCTAGCCTTGAGCAAAAGAAGCTCAGGGACAGTGCTCAGGCCCTGAATTCAAGCCTCAGGACTGTCACCAAAAAAAAAAAAAAAAGATTCTCATGGATTTTCCTACCCTGGCTGGCTTCAAACCTTAATTCTCATATCTCAGCCTCTTGAGTAGCTAGGATTACAGGCATGAGCCACCGGCGCCCGGCTTTTTTTTACACTTCTGATTATTTTTTTCAAATATCATATAATGGATATTTGACAAGATATATCCATGGATTTTAGACTTTTAAAAAGTCTCCTGAGCTGGGTGCTGGTGGCTCATGCCTGTAATCTTAGCTACTCAGGAAGCTGAGATCTGAGGATTGCAGTTTTAAGCCAGGCTGGGCAATATTCACTGCGCGTGAAACTGTTTTAGTTGTTGTTGTTGTTGATTGTGGGGCTTGAATGCAGGCCCTGGGTGCTGTCTCTGAGCTTTTTCCACTCAAGATTATTCTACCACTTTGAGCCTCAGCTGTACTTCTGGTGGCCAATTGGAGATAAGAGTCTCATGGACTTTCCTGCCAGGCTGGATTTCAACCGTGATCCTCAGATCTCAGCCTTCTGAGTAGCTAGGATGACAGGCGTGAGCCACTGGGTGCCTGGCCTATGCTGGTTATTTTTAAGATAGAACCTTACTTCCAACCCCAGGTTGTGATTCACTTGTTTTTAGGCTTCTTATCATAGCTGGAATGACAGGCACTGGCCCTCATTCTTTCACTGAGATCGAAGTCTTGCAGACTCTTCTGCCTGGACTGACGGAGCTAAGGTCCTCTTTCTCTCAGCTTTTCACATAGCTAGATGGCAAGCATATGCCACTGTGCTTAGCTTTTGATTGAGAAGGGGTCTCTCAAACTATTTTTTTGCCCAGGCAGGCCTTGAACTGCAATACCCTAGTCTCATCTTCCCACATAGGATGACAAGAGCATGTCTCCACTCCCAGCTGTGGGTTGAAAAAGGGTTCCATGGACTTTTTGTCTGGACTGGCCTCAAACTGTGACCCTACCATTCTCAGCCTCCCAAGTAGCTAGGATTACAAGTGAGCCACCAGCGCAGAGCCTCTATTTTTTTTACTTCTGGGAGACATGGGGATGCTGCCGTTGTAATTACCACCTCTCTTTGCTTCTGAGCTAGAATTGCCTGGACTCTCCAGGATGCTGAGAATGGAGAAGCCAGCTGACCTGCTTTCTTTTTATCTGTAAATTCTGTCAGTTCATCTGCCATCTTTAGAGGGGTTTGTACTTTTGTCCGTTGAGTCATCCAAGGATAGATTGAGCTTTACTATAGATGAAACAACGCTTTCTAGAGCAAGTGCTTTGGTCCTATTAGCTAGACTTTCAGTAATTTGTCAAAGTGTCAGCCACTGCACTATTGTGGCCGTGCAGTTCCTGAAGGCTGTGTCAGCGTGGGATGTCGCGGCAGTCGAGATGGCTGAGAAATCCGATGGATAGAGGAGGATGGGCAGGCAGCCTAGCTGCAGAGCAAAGCGAATGCAGGCTCGGTGTGAAGGATTTGTCAGGCCAGAGAGTTATTCAGCAGTGGGAGTTGGAGCTGGACGCCAGTGACTCATGCCAATAATCCTAGCTACTCAGGAGGATGAGTAGCTAGAGGATTGTGGCAGAAAAGTCACAAGACCTTGTTTCCAAAATAACCATCAAAAAGCCAGGCTTGAGGTATGGCTCGAGCAAAAGAAAAATCTAGCAAGTGTTAGGCCCTGAGTTCACACCTGGCCCCCCTAAAAAGGAAAAAAAAAGTCAAAATTGGAACTCTAAGCTAGGGGACACCACTGAAATCCAGAGATAGAGCCAGACTCTTACCACCATCCCGTGGTCCCTGGTGTCCCCGGGCACCAGAGGGCTGAGATGGAGCCCTTCTGCAAAGCAGAGCAGGGGTTCTGGGAAGGAAGGAAGCAGGAAGAAGCAAATCATTTGATTACTATCACTGGAACTCTAGGGTTGAGGATGGGGCAAGTTTCTTGTCTGGAAAACTGGAACACAGCACTGGATGTGGCCCCAACACTGCGCAGTCCTGCTTAACTGATGAGGTACATCAAGTAAGACCAGCATCCCAGGTCTAGACAGCTCCTGTGCGTCCTGCTGGCCTGCAGATGGTGGGGCGTGGAGAAGGCAGGGCCTTCAGAGCAGTGTCCGCTATCGGCACTGCCGGTGCTGCCGGCTTGCCTCTCCTGACCCCCACAGAGGTCCTGACGGCCCAGCCCTGCTTGCTGTTGTCTGCATACTCAGATCACAGGCTCTCCCTCCTACGGATGGGATAGGGTGCAGTCTCCAGAGCTGCCTGCTACATGCCTGGGCCGACACTGGTCCACACAGTGTCAGGCTGCTGTCAGTGCCTACAGAATGCTGTTGTAGACTGCTGTGTCACTGGAGTGGCACCCCTGGGCTGGCTTACATTTCACATCCGGATACCCCCCTTTTATATAATGCGTTTGATTCCAGTCTTGTTCTGAAGTGAGATGACAGTTTAGGTTATGGGGCCATGTCTTAGCTCAAGAACCTCACTTCTGTTCCATTGGCCCGGGCCCTGTCTCCCGCCATTGGACAAGCCACATCAAACCTATGACCTTGAGCTCCTGCATGGTACTGGTGGACTTATCCCTCCTAATGCAGAGGGCTGCTGCTGGCTGGCTGAGGAAACTCACTCTGCTCCTGCCAAATGGAGTAGATGCACTTCTGAAACAAGTTGCTGATATGGAAGGGACTTGGTGGTCATTTTGAGCAAAGGCCACACCAGACCCAGCTGCTGTGGAGAGAGTGGGCTCTCCAGGATCCTAGGAGGGGAAGTGTTGCCGCCCACAGCTTTTGCAGCTGTTCTCCACATAGGCTCCGGAAACTTCTCTTCCCTGTCCAAGTATTTGTCGTGCTCTACTTGGGAGGTCTCACCTATGTGAGTGCAACAGGTGCTGCTCCTCATAGGAAGAGTCTGTAGTCAGACCCGTTCTTCATTCTTCTTCTTCAGAGTTTCCTTTCTCCAGCTATCACAATGCTGGCTGTTGCTCCACTCTGGGGGATTATGTAGATCTGTGTGTTCAGGACTTCCCAGAGACTGAACTCTTTGAAGACATGGCTTATCATTGGAGTTTCAGCTCCGGGCCAGGATGGACAACACCAAGGAAGGGAGGAGAGTCAGGCCTGGCCACCTCCACTGCTGGGCTGCTGCAGGTGTACCAAGTTCACAGGACAGTGGACATCCCACCAGTGTTTGCTATGTTCATGGATACGGGACAGAAGAGCCACAAAAGAGCAGCTCCCGGCTCCTAGCCTCTCAGAACACTGCAGAGAGCCAGGCAACTTCGCATCAATAGCCATATGATTCATAGTGAATGTTGAGGCAGAAAAGCCAACTCTATTATAAAGAAGACCATTTCCAGCACATTTGTTAACTGAGCCACTCAGCACTTGATTTCATTGTGCTGCTGGCACTCTTCATCGAAGGTGCTAATCACTGCCATCCTTATGAGAGACCTCCTGAGCCTGTGGGCGAGACTTGCCGGGAGCAGGTGCTTCTCCGGGGTGTTCTGGATGACATCGCTGCCCTTGCTTCTCAGTTATCCATGGGATCACAGAAAACCGACAGTGGAAGAGACCTCAAAGGCCATGTGTTCTGCAAACATTGAGCAGCTCCTGTTCTGTCCCACACCCTGCCTCATGGTGGCAGTTCGGGGGATAGGAACATCCAAAACCCAATTTGTTTGGAATTTTCTAGAATGTAAAATTACTGTCAAGCACATAGAATCTCCTCTCCCACCCACCATTATACTTTCCTCTTTGGAGTAAAATGAATTCCCTTCTGTCAAAGATTAAGCATCTGGAAAGTTCCACCGCACAGTAGGTTTTCAATGAGTGTCAGTTTCTTTTATTCTCTATTTAAAAAAAAACTCATGTGTACTGACTTCATCCACCAATAACTACCTTGGAAGTTTTAAAGAAAGAGAATGCCACTGCTACCTTTCCAGTGTGACCAAGGCTGGGATGGGTAGTGCGGGCCAATCTTGAATGCTCTGTGTCCTATGCTCTAGTTAGCTTCTCGCCATTCAGAGAGGGAGACGGCAGGGTAGGGTGGGGGAATGCGGAGGAGGAGAGGGATTGAACCAAGAGGTATAGGTATAAGTAAAAGCTGCCAGGCTGGGAAGGTGGCTCAGTGGAAGAGCGCTTGTCTTGCAAGCATGAGGCCCTGGGTTTGATTCCTCAGCACCATGTAAGCAGAAAAAAGCCGGAAGTGGTGCTGTGGCTCAAGTGGTAGAGTGCTAGCCTTGAGCTGAAGAGCTGAGGGACAGCGCCCAGGCCCAGAGTTCAGCCCCCACGACCAACCAAAAAAAGAAAAGAAAAAGTAAAACCCACAACAAGTTTAAAGACAAATTTTCTGGAGGAGGCTAGGTATTGGTTTGCCTTCCCAGGATCTGGATCATTGAGGGACCGCTGCGTTGGCTTTTGGGGGGTCATGTGATTCATGATGTTCTAGCTCCCAGCCATGTACCTGCCCCAGCTCTTCCTTGGTTCTGCCATTTCATTTTGACTGGGGCCGAGCCAGAACCCACCGACCTCCAACTTCTCAGAAGCATCTTCCTGAGCTGGGGTTTAGACCTCCAGGTTCCACTCCAGTCACCAGTTCTTGATTGTGTCCAGTGGCAGCCAGATCTCCTGACTGACATATAGCAAATGCCCAGAAAACGTGCGATGAATGAATGCGTGCATGCAGTATGTGATGAGTACCACGCTGGCCCACTCTCTGCCCTCCACCCAGACTGGTCCCTGAGAGCAGATGGCCTCAGCAGGCTCCTAGGACCTCGGGACTTCTTGTTGAGCTGGCCAATGCAGGAGGAGATCAGAGGGTGAGGTAATTGCCCCTTAGCTCCCCACTGCATGAGTTCCCATGTGCTGACTGTGGCCCTCAACAAAAGGCCCCTGCCTTCCCGGGCAGCCTGCTCCAATTGACCCTCCTCTCTCAGTGCCTGAGTCCTGTCCATCCCTTCTTCCTTCTAGGCCATGGGGTGCCGCCAGCTGCTGCCACAGCTCCTGCCCCATCCCTTATGGTTTCTTTATACCCTGCTCACACCAGTGTAATTAGTCTCTTCATAAATTAACCCTCTGCAAATTATCCTAAGTAGAGCATACCTTCTCCTTCCTGTTGGGAAGCAGCAGGCCCCAATTGCTGTGGGGATTTTAAATGGTTTGAGCTGGGACACTAGAGCTGCAACCGACTTAACAAAATGCATGGTGCTATTCTCCCAGGAGTGTGCCATGGCTAGAAACTATTCTCTGCTTAGGGAAGACATTCACCCACTGATAATGTGTGAGATCTTATTTTTTTTCTTTTTCCAAAACAAGTATTTAATATGTTAGCTGTTTTACAGAGAGAAATTTAAATAATATACTTATTTATGCTGTGATGACCATTTCACAAAATTGATAAAAATACAGAAATTAAATGAAAAGTGGAACATTAGAAATTTTTTAGCTTTCCACTTCAGTGGCCGAAGATACCACACAGACTTGTGCCATGTCATCACATTCACACGTTCTCTTTAAAACTGTGTCTGCTAGCCTTAAGCCGGAAACACTCCACTGAAAAAAAGACACGAGCTTCAGTTTTCATTCATTGACCATGACTAATAACTGTAAGCTAGTCCCCATACTGTAGAAATTACTGAAAAGAACATACTTGTAGTCCCTGAACTGAAGACAGCAGAGTAAGGGCAAGGCAGAGTAAGAACTCGGATGCCGTTTTCCCAGCTGTCTTCCTGAGATACCACACCAGTGAATAGAACTGGTATTGCACATTTCCAAAACCAGATCCATGGTCCCGTCACTGCTGAAGGAATCAGAAAAAGAATAAATCTTGCTCATTTTACAAGGAGGTACTATGGGGCTGGGAAGGTGGCTCAGTGGTAGAGCGCTTGCCTCGCATGCCTGAGGCCCTGGGTTCGATTCCTCAGCACCACATAAGCAAAAAGAAAAAAGCCGGAAGTGGCGCTGTGGCTCAAGTGGTAGAGTGCTAGCCTTGAGCTGAAGAGCTGAGGGACGGCGCCCAGACCCAGAGTTCAGGCCCCACGACTGGACCGAAAACAAACAAACAAACAAAAAAAAAACAAGGAGGTACTATGTTATTTGTCAACATGTTTGCTTTCTGGGGGATCTTATTTCAGACTAACAGTCATTATTAAGTGTCTGAAATTGCCCCTTGTTTTAGTTGTATATCTCCCTCAGCAAGAAGTATGCTGGAAAGACAAACCAAATAGAATAGGGCAGAAGCACACTGGCTTTGCCAGCAGAAGGTTTCAAGGAGTAATATGTCTGATTCCTTATTTACATTTCCACTCTGGGCTGTTTTCCTGCAGGTGATCATCAACAGCACAATCACACCGAATATGACTTTCACCAAAACATCACAGAAGTTTGGACAGTGGGCGGACAGCAGAGCCAACACAGTGTTTGGTTTGGGGTTTTCCTCTGAGCAGCAGCTGACAAAGGTATGTGGTGCTTCCCGGGGGACAGGAGGTGCGGTGTGGCGTTCGACTGTCCTTCAGGACTTGCCCCTGGCGGGTAGAGCCATTCTCAGTGAGCAGGATTCCTTCTTGGTTGCCCATCACACCCCTCTGGCCATGCAGGTCCCTTGGAAAAGGGGCAGTTGGTTGAGGAAGGGAAACTGATTCCTAACAAGTGCTGCTTCGGGACCTTGTGTGGCTACACGAGGAAGCAGCTAGGCCAGTTCTTCTGGTCCTCCTCGCCAGCCAGCCACTGCTTTGTGTGTCCCATAGGGCCAGGGAGCGCAGGGAGGGCTGCCTTGCTCATCGGGTCCTGTCAGCTGGGTTTTGAGGACCACGTCCTGTGAGAGGACAGCTGTTGGAGGGTCGCTACTGAAATCTTCTAAGGTCATGCTAGGTTTCTGGACTTTATCCTATGACCTGAGAAGTTAAAAGCCCAGAAGGAAAGGGGTCAGATTTGCATCTTAGGTAGATATTTTTCCCTGGCAACAAGTCAGATTCGACTGTATTACCTCAGGGCAGAGCTCATTAAGGGTTGAATACAAACTGGAGAGATTTTAAAGAGGTTGATGAGCTAAGTCGGTGGAGCTTGGTAAGTAAAGAGGGAGGAGGAGCCTCTGGTGTGCTGGTGGAGCTTGGTAAGTAAAGAGGGAGGAGGAGCCTCTGGTGTGCTGGTGGAGCTTGGTAAGTAAAGAGGGAGGAGGAGCCTCTGGTGTGCTGGTGGAGCTTGGTAAGTAAAGAGGGAGGAGGAGCCTCTGGTGTGCTGGTGGAGCTTGGTAAGTAAAGAGGGAGGAGGAGCCTCTGGTGTGCTGGTGGCTCCGAGAGGAGCAGGCACTGGGGGGGCAGCGTCTGCCCACGGGGGAAGCAAGCGTGATGGTCAGCGGAAGGAGCCAGAGAGACACGGCCTGCGTCTGGGCGTGTTGGAGGTCACGTGCTTCCCCCTGCAGAGTGCCCCTGTCCCCACACAGCACCCTCGCCACGCCCCCAACTGCAGAAGGAGCTCCTGAGCCAAATCCATACATGCTCCTGATCCGTTTCTGAACCAGATGGTCTTCCTGGAGGTCTGGAAAGATTCCTTCTATCGGCAGCGGCAGCGGCATCAAAGTAATAGGAAGGGCCGGGGCTGGGAAGGCGGCTCAGTGGTAGAGCGCTTGCCTCGCATGCTTGAGGCCCTGGGTTTGATTCCTCAGCTCCACATAAGCAAAAAAAAGGAAGTGGTGCTGTGGCTCAAGTGGTAGGGTGCTAGCCTTGAGCTGAAGAGCTGAGGGACAGCGCCCAGGTCCAGAGTTCAAGCCCCACAACCAACAAAAAAAAAAAGAGGAGGAGGAGGAAGAGAAAGAGAAAGAAAAAGGAAGAGTGGAAGGGTGAAGTGGAGGAGCTTCTGTGAACAGAATTAAAAAGAGAACTCTAGATACAAACCAGGACAAGTTGCTAAAAGTCCAATTCTTTGTGAGAACTGGAGAGACCTGGAGCTGCACCTGCCTCCAAGGGCTGCCACTTCTGATTTTTCCCAAATGAAAATGTCCTATCATTAAGGAGTGTCCGTCTTCCTGAGTCACAGAGTCCCAGCAGCAGAGACTTCTCAAGGTCCTAGATGTCTCCTTTGTCCAAAATATTTCAGATCAACTCTTCCCCTTTTTCTGAAGGGAGCGATTAACCACACACTGACACAGGGATAAATTACTGTGAATTGAGGTTGGCGGTCTCGACAAGTGGCAGTTACCTACCACAGAAGAGCTGGGGCCTAACGGGCTCCCAAGGTGCGGATGGGGGACAGCAGTGGCTGCGTACACCTGCCTTCCCAGAGCCACCACCCACAGACCTACAGAGGGAGGCAGTCACCGAGTGCTCTAGGCTGGAGAAAAACCCCAGTGCGGATATTTTCATTTAAAAACACTTTATATGTACTTCTTTCTGTAACCCCTACAAAGAAAATAGATGCCTTGGTCCCAACAGCTCTTATTACAAGGACCACTTCACAATCGCAGACAAAAACGTAGTGCAGGAAAACTTTGTTCTTCCAACCGTTTCCCAAAAATAGCAGGAGCTTACATTCCCAGAAGTGAACCAAGACTCAGTTGCCTGCCACTGGGGAAGACAAACTACCTCTTCCCAGTGAAGAGTGTTGTGAAGGACTTCTGCTCTGATCAAAGGAATCGTTTATGAAGAGAGACCAAAGGAGGGAGATATAAATATAAGAACGAGCTGGTTATTGATGTTATTTTCCTTGCATCTGGTCCCAAGTGTCACAGTTCTAAGCATGTCTTCATCCCTTTCATCACAGACAAGAGGAAACACAGTCCTCCTTGGATGAAGAGCAGTATGGGCTGGCCTACCAAGTCCTCTGTGACTGGTCCATCTCAACCCTGACGCATGTGCAATTTCTCTGTAGCTCAGTTTCCCCTTATGTTCACTTCAGTAACTCAGTGTAGTTGTAAGACCATGGCCCAATCCCCTAACTTCCCATCATCAGATTTAAGGTCTAAGTTGTGTTAGTATGTGGGGTGGAAGGAGGTGGTGTATTGGTCCTAGGACTTGGGCGGTATCCCTGAGCTGCTTTTTGCTCAAAGTTAGCTGTCTACCATTTGAGCCACAGTGCCACTTCTGGTTTTCTGATGGTATATTGGAGTTAAGAATCTCACAAAGCCAGGCACCGGTGGCTTACTCCTATAATCCTAGCTACTCAGGAGGCTGAGATCTGAGGATTACGGTTCCAAGACAGCTCGGCAGAAAAGTCCATGAGACTCTTATCTCCAATAAACTACTAGAAAACCGGAAGTGGTGCTGTGGCTTAAGCAGTAGAGTGCTTGCCTTGAGCTGAAGAGCGCAGGGATGGCACCCAAGCCCAGAGTTCAAGCCCCACGACCAACAAAAAAAGAGTCTCACAAGCTTTCCAGCCCAGGCTGGCTGTGAACTGAGATCCTCAGATCTCAGGCTCCTGAGTAACTAAGATTATCGGCATGAGCCACCTGCACCAGGCTTACAGGCCAATTTTTTTTGAATGAGGGATGATATTAGTTGTTATTTTAGTTAGAATGCCTTTAGCCACAGATTATAGAAAACCTGGTTAAAATGGGTTTATTTTGTGCAAAAGAGAAGTCCTGAGGCAGGTGGTTGCTGGTTACCCTCAGCTCCACAGTGTTTGCTCTCAAGACGCTGTACTCAAGAGTCTGCATAGTTTTTGATTCTTTGTTGTTTTCCTGTGGTGATGGATGTCTTCTCAAGCTCTATGCATCACATCTGCATTCATAGAAAGAAGGTCTGGCAGAACACTTCCCCTGGAACCCCTGTGCCAGACTTCCAAAATCCCAGTCTCAGCCGAGTTCCTAGCCCCCTCCTCCAAAAAACTAAGTCACTAAGGAAGAGTAGGTTGCCATAGTCAGCTTGGACCAACGTGTTTCCTGTTCATACAGATTTGAGATTCTGTTAAGCTAAAAGAAAAGAAAAAATAATTTTTTAGTAGGTAAATACTATGTTTGGCACAGGTCTTCAAAGGTCGATACTGAAAAGAAGCCACATAAAATCAATCAATAGTGATGATGTTGATGATGGCTTTGAATAAAAATCTATTACCACTAAAAACTGCAGACAGAAAATGACATGAATAAATGAAAGCACAGGAATTTGCTGCTATGTTTCAGAAGCTTTGTGATTTAAGTATCTTTTGATCCACAGGTTTCACTGCTCTGTTTTGGTGGTGGTCGTCATTGTGGGGCCTGAACTCTGGGCCTGGGCGCTGTCCCTCAGCTCTTCAGCTCAAGGCTAGTGTTCTACCACTTGAGCCACAGCGCCACTTCTGGCTTTTTCTGTTTATGTGGTGCTGAGGAATCCAATCCAGAGCCTCATGCATGCGAGGCAAGCACTTTACCACTGAGCCACCTTCCCAGCCCTAGTCATATTTTAAAAGAAAGAAATATGATGAATAGAGATCTATCAGAAATATGTGATTAGTGTTTATATCTGAATAACATGACCATCAATCTTAGGAAATACTTATTTGTAAGCTACAATTCCTAAATTACTGGCATGTGTGCTATTTTATAGTAAATATGAAATACCAGAGAACTTCAGACCTGGAGGGTTTTCATGAAGGACAGTCATTTGGTGCCTCTTGTAACTGAGCTCGTTGTCCTGTAGTTGGAGGCCATGAAGGGAAGCATCTCCATCATCCTCCCAACGCTCCCTGGACCACTTCCAGTTTCCCCTTATTGTGGATAATGCTAGGATTACAACCATTATATCCAAGGCCTTTTTTTTTCATATTTGCAATTATTTTCACAGAATGGTTTCCCAGAAGCAATATCAGTGAGTCAGTACCTATGAATGTTTTTCTCACCCGTGATACATATTTCCAAATTGCTTCTCAGTGGGGCTCTACCAAAACACAACACTACCAAGAAGGTATTGCTAGCCCTGGAGTTTATAATTGTATTTAGCATTTGCTAATTTAGCAAGCGAAGAATGGAACCTCATTATTTTGATTTGAATTTCCAGCAAGGCTGAACAATCTTTTCTGTAAGTTGTTCAGTTGTATTGTTATTCATGAATTTTGCTATTTATCTCTTAGGATTTTTATATTTTCCTTTTCATCTTGTACAAACCCTTTCATAAAAAAAAATAGCCATTTTTCTGTGCTCCTAACCTAGCTATAACTAGGTTATTTTGCCTGTTATTTTTTCCTTTCTGAATTATTTTTTTCCTTTTAAACTCAAAACCTTTAAAATTGTTTTATAGTCCTGCCTGTCACTTTTGTGATTTTATTTTTCCCAACTTTAGAAAAGTGTTCTTCCACCCTTTAAATACAAGTTGAAGAGATGTTCAGTTATTTGGGGGCCTGCCTTTCTTAAGATTTGATACCCTCCCCCATACTTCCTCTTTAACCCATCAGTAACTTGCCAAACCAGTGGTTTGTGATAAGCATCTAAATTCCTCTCCCCTAATTTACTAAAAGTTATATCAGTTACATGTTGAAAAGTCTTCCTCATTAAGTTATGGTTCTTCCTCTAATGAGCTAATTTTTGTCTTTACTGGTAGGACTCAGTTCTCATCTGTTTGTTCTGTTTGACCTTTTGTCAATAATAACACAGCTTTTAAATGAGTATTTGTTAAAATGTACTTGACAGGGCTTTTCCTGTTATGTTACTTTTAAGCTTATTTCCTGAAATGTTCTTTTTGATTCAGTCCTGTCTGCATGTCAACAAAACCCTCTACAGTAGACTTAGGAGTTCCTTTGAGGGTACGAATCTCTTTCCTTTCTCATCAGCCAGGGGACAGCAAGCCAATCTATAGCTCCTCCACTCACTGAATAAACGCATGTCCCCCTCCCCCCCAAGCCCGCACCCCCCATGTATCAGTGCTATTCTTCCCCAGGTTTGGGAGGAGGGGGCGTCCAGAGAACTGAGTCAGGAGCGCTGCAATCATGGGGTTCAGGACATGTCGTTTTTATGGAAAGGAGGGCTTTCTCCATCCTGTCTCTGTCCCTGCTGAGCTTCATGGGTTTTACACCGCTGTAGGCAGTGAACCTGGCCTCCAGACAGCTCTGGAGTGGTTAAGTGGGTAGCACCTGGCTGCAGCAGCCACACAAAGGCTGAGCTTTTCTGCTTAGCCCAGGGCTGGGCTCACTGTCTGCCTTGTGAAGACTCTTGGAGCCTGTGCTCACTCAGACTAGCCCTCTGCAGAGACTCAGCATTGTCTGCAGCCTCGCAACTGCTGCTTTTGTTGTTGTTTCTCAGCAACTACACATCTTCCTCTCCTTGGCATTTGTGTTCAGATAATATATTTGCTCATTAAAATCAGCTGCCTTCTCTGTGAGTGACTGTGAACAAGGGATTGGTAGGATTGCTCTAGCATTTTAGAAGTTTGTTGATTACAGAAATATTCAGACATTTTAAATCACCTAGATTTAAGTTACTGATCCGACCATGTTGCTTCATTTCTCTTGTTGAACTACGTAAAAGCAAATTATCTGATGATTAAGGATGCAAACAAAGGCTGTTGTGTATCATAAGCTTTTAAAATCTGGAACAGTTCCTACTTCTAAAATCATGATATTTTAAGTCATGATATTGACTCATTAGAGCTACTGGATCTCTTTAGTAGAGTTTGTGGATTTTTCCATTGATTCCTTCAGTTGTGTGGCAGTATTTCCTTCATTGTGATTATATTAGCTACTGTTAACCTGCAAGGTTTCGGGGTTTTTTTTTTTGTTGATCATGGGGCCTGAACTCTGGGCCTGGGTGCTGTCCTCAGCTCTTCAGCTCAAGGCTAGCACTCTACCACTTAAGCCATAGTGCCACTTCTGGCTTTTTCTGCTTATGTGGTGCTGAGAAATCGAACCCAGGACCTCATGCATGCGAGGAAAGCGCTCTACCACTGAGCCACCTTCCCAGCCCAAGCTGCAAGTTTTATTAACTTGTTTTTTTTTTTTTTGATTGTGGGACTTGAGGTCTGGACCTAGGTACTGTCCCTGAACTCTTCAGCTCAAGGGTCATGCTCTACTACTTGAACCACAGTGCCACTTAATTTGCTTTTTTTGTTTTTTTGCTTTGTTTTTTATTTTGTTTTGTTTTGTTTTGTTTGTTGGTCATGAACTCTGGGCCTGGGCGCTGTCCCTCAGCTCTTCATCTCAAGGCTAGCACTCTACCACTTGAGCCACAGTGCCACTTCTGGTTTTCTGGCTTATTGGAGATAAGAGTCTCACAGACTTTCATGCCCAGGCTGGCTTTAACCGCACTCCTCAGATCTCAGCCTTCTGAGTAACTAGAATTACAGGTGTGAGCCACCGGCGCCCTGCAATTTGTTTTTAATATTTCATCATCAAACTCACATCAGTAGTTTTGAAACTAGTTTGTGTTTTCCCTTGGCCAACAGTGTATACTGGGGGGAAAAGTCCCTATATGTATTTTTTTAGATTTGTACAGTATATACAGTATATAAAATGGATGCCAAATAATAAAAATGTGTTTTGAATATCACCCATGACTAAGATTAATAAAAACCTTAGTATCTGTTGTTCCTGTTCAGTTTGCAGAGAAATTCCAGGAGGTAAAAGAAGCTGCCAAACTAGCCAGAGACAAGTCCCAGGAGAAAACTGAGACCTCAAGTAATCACTCGCAAGTAAGTCATTGTTGCTGGAACAATCAGAGTGTGAACAGTCAGTGATGGAGACCTTCACTCCTCATCACCCTGGGAAGGAGTAGGGTATCTTAGCAGTGGGACATCTTGAAAGCTTTCTCCAACTATGAGTTTGTTCCCAGGAAGAGGATTTGACACGCCTTTTTGAAACTCCTGAACTTCTTATAGGACAGAAAATGGTTAATGACATTAGAGTAAAGGCTCATCCTGGGCTGGAGATGTTCTGTGGCCACTGAATTTAGACGTTACCAGTGTTCCCAACAGTACTGTCTTAGCTACAGGGGGTCTGGCTTTGCCAGGAAATTGAGTATTTTACTTTGGCTGAAATGAGCTCATTTTCGCCTGGTGCTGGTGGCTCACTCCCATAATCCTAACTACTCCAGAAGCTGAGATCTGGGGCTCTCGGTTTGAAGGCGGCCCACCTGGGTCTTTGACAGCCCCCAAATATCTGCATACCTTCCACAGCACACCTCAGCCCCACTGCACAGACTCGTGGCTATCTTCATGATACACCCTGCTTATTCCAACCCTTTGCTCCTGAAGTTTCCATTTTCTGGTTCAGCATACAGGCTTGTCAAGCCTTCCCTCACTACCACATATATCAACTCAGACTTTAGGAATGCTGCCATTTTTATCTCCAATTAAAATGATTTTTTTTCAGTCATGAGGCTTAGGCACTATCTCTGAGCTTTTGTGTTCAAGGCTAAGGCTCTACTCCTTGAGCCACAACTCCACTTCCAGCTTTTTTTTTTTTTATAGTTAATTGGAGAGGAGAGTCTCATTGACTTTATTTCCCAGGCTAGCTTCAAACCTCAGTCCTCAGATCCAGTCTCCTGAGAGGCTAGAATTACAGCTGTGAGACACCAGCACCTTTTGTTTTCTTTGCCAATCTTGGGGCTTGAACTCTGGGCCTGGTGCTGTCCCTGAGCCTCTTCGTGTTCAAAGTTAGCACTCTACCACTTGAGCAGCAGTGCTGCTTCTGGCTTTTTCTGAGTGGTTTGTTGGAGATAAGAGTCTCATGGACTTTCCTACACTGGGTGGCTTTGAATCATAATCCTCAGATCATAACCTCCTGAGTAGCTAGGAAATAAAAAACAAAAAAAAACAGTGCCCAGCTCTGTTTTTTTCATTAATACAAATAACACCATGAAGAACCATCTTGCCTGACTCATTTGAAGGTTTCTGCAGCATAAATGGTTGAAGTGCAAGTATAGCTTAAAGGTACTGGGTGTTGAGACACCGTGTGCACTTAGCCTATGGGACTGTTCAGCCCCACTCCCGCCAGCCGTGAGGAAGGCTTTGTTAATTTGACAGATGAACAAATGTATTTTATTTGCTTGTTTCTTTCACTTTATATTACTTTTCTAGTGGCATTGCTTTTATGTCTGTTAATGATATGCATTTCTTCTTTCATGGTGCTGTAGTTTGAACTCAGGGCCTCAAACTTGCTAGACAGCTTTCTGAGCAACATCCCCATTCCTTTTTGCTTTAGTTACTTTTCAGACAGGGTCTCCCAGTTGTGCCTGAGCCTGGCTTTGGACAACATCTTCCTTATGTATTCATGCCTCTCATAAAGCTGGGATTATAGGTACATACCACATACCAGCTATATGCAGTTTTCCTTTTGTATTACCCATAGTCATTTTTCTTCTTTAAAAAAATTAAGCTGTTCACATATGGATTTCTAAGGACTTGACAATTTGTGTGTGTATGGTGTGTGTGTGTGTGTGTGTATTCTAGTCCTGGGGCTTGGACTTAGGGCCTGGGCTCTGTCCCTGAGCTTTTTTGCTCAAACTAGTTTTCTGCCACTAGTGCCACAGCTCCACTTCCAGCTTTTTAGTGTTTAATTGGAAGATGAATCTCACAGACTTTCCTGCTTATGCTGATATCAAACTATAATCCTCAGATCTCAGCCTCCTTGAGTAGGTAAAGATTAAGGCATGAGCCACCAGCACCCAATGATTAGTTTTTTAACATGAACAATTTTGAACAAATACAAAAACTAGGCAAAACAGTATGCGAACCCCCACATGCTGATAGGTCAGCTTTAACAGTTAGAAAGAATTTTATGGCCAGTGGCTTTAGCTATGCCTCTGCGTTGACCCCTTTCTTCATGTTCCGATGCTCTTTTATTCCCATCATAAGTGTTTCGGTTTGTGACTCTTAAAAGCTTTTCAATTCAGAAAAGGTATTGGCAGTTTATTTTTTTGTTTTTGTTTTGTTTTGTTTTGTTTTTGTCAGTCGTGGGGCTTGAACTCTGGGCCTGGGCGCTGTCCCTCAGCTCTTCAGCTCAAGGCTAGCGCTCTACCACTTGAGCCTACAGCACCACTTCTGGTTTTCTGGTGGGTAATTGGAGATAGGAATCTCACAGTCTCTCCTGCCCAGGCTGGCTTTGAACCGCAATCCTCAGATCTCAGCCTCCTGAGTAGCTAGGATTACAGGCTTGAGCCACCAGCGCCCGGCTGGCAGTTTATTTTTAATATCTGCTATAAATATATTTCCTAGGCTTTATTTTACTTTTGTTTTTGGCACTTTTTTGCGAAGCAAAATACTAAGTCACATTTACATACCAATTCTTTTGTGGCTCTTCCCTTGCCTTTATGTTTATTGGAAGCTAAGATCTTATCCAGGACCAGATAAGGTTTCACCTCATGTTTGCCTTACTGGAGAGCACACGCTAGAGCATTCAGGCAGTGCTAAGTAGCGATGGAGATGGCACAATTTCACAGCCGTTCCTGTTTTCCTAATGACTGTGTCGATAAGTCTCCATAGGCCTAGGATTTCTAAGTTGACTCAATGTTTGTTCCTTTTCTATTCCTTTCACTATTGCTTAGGTTCTTGTGGTATTTAAGGGGACCTGATATTTCAGCTTGGAAGGTTTGTCTATAAAATTTGAGTAAAAAGCCAGTGCCAGTGCTGAGATCTGAGAATCACAATTCAAAGCCACCCCAGGCAAGAAAGTCTGTGAGACTCTTATCTCCACTGAAACTACACCCCAAAAAAAGCTGGAAGGAGAGCTGTGGCTCAAGTGGTAGAGTGCTAGCCTTGAGCAGAAAGAGGCTCAAGGACAGACAGCAACCCAGGCCCTCATCAAGCCCCAGGACTGGCACTATGTATGTATGTATGTATGTATGTATTAGTCAGATGGCTCTGAGAAGTGGCCCCAAATGTTCCCTCTTCAGTGAAACGCACCGATTTTATAAGTGTGTGCGGACTTCTCAGGGTCTTTCCCCTGTGGTTGTATCTCCATCCGCTTGTGGTTAGTCTCGGCTGCATCGTGATTAGATGTGTTGGTTTGGTCACACTCATAAACAGTATCTACTTTGCTGCCAGTGTGAGTACAAGCAGTAACATGTGCAGATAATTCACTTTGGCCAGGAATCTGGGTGTGAAACCCCGTCTTGTACTCAGGCATCCAGTGTCAATGGGACTGACGATGAAAAGGCCTCGCACGCGGGCGCAGTGGACGCACACCTCAAGTCCGAGAACGACAAGCTGAAAATCGCCCTGACACAGAGGTGAGGCTGGTCTGCAGTCCAGACCCTGGGCCCGTGTTTACCATTGCGAAGCCTCTCAGGCTGAGGTGCAAAGGGTTTCCTGCCTCCTGCTCACAGTCGGCATGTGGAAGGCCTGCGAGTGCGCGCAGGGCAGGAAGGCCTACGGGTGTGTGGGAGGGTTGGGGGTGACAAAGCAGGGATGTGTCTTCGCAGGAGTGCTTTGCTCTGATTTTAAGGAGACCCATTTACCATTTATTCTCTATGAAATTGAGTTTTTAAATATCAAAAAAGCATATGAAAACCTATGAAATTATGAAGGATAATACAAAATCCCACAAAAGTCAATAACATTCATATATACAAATTCATTACACAGGATATATATTTAAAGAAGGCTTTTTTTTATAGTATGAACTGAAATCTTAAAATAGGAATAGACTTGACAAATGTACAGAGCTATATGAAGCAAACTTTAAAATTATTTCAAACATCAATGATACATTCTTTTAAAATATATATGATAAAATGTATTTTTAAAAGTATACTATAACAGTAATATATATGTGTATGTATTACATTGTGTAGGGTGTTCCTAGGGCTTGATCTCAGGACCTTCCATTCTCAATTGACTTTTTTGCTTAAGGCAAAGTGGAGCCACAGCTCCGCTTCCAGCTTTCTGCTGGTTAATTAAAGAGAAGATTCTCATGGATATTCATAGACTTACCTGCCCAGGGTTGGCTTTGAACTATGATGGTCAGATTTCAGCCTCCTGAGTAGATAGGATTACAGGCATGAGCCACCAGCACCCAGCCCAGCCTCTCTTTTAAGTATATATTTTTAGTTCTGTGTTTGTGACATCTAATGTGACATTAAATACACAAGTACCATAGAGGGGTCACAAGATTAAGCTGCAGGTCTACCAGTTCAGACACAAAACGACCTTCCTTTGGGAAGTGCTAAGAAGCTGTGACAGATTGTTAGGTACCAGTGTCCCCTGTGGCGAGCTATACATTGAACATGATTCGTGGGTTATTTTTGTTTGTTTTGTTGGTTGGTCGGTCGTTGGGCCTGCCTGAACTGTGGGCCTGGGCGCTGTCCCTCAGCTCTTCAGCTCAGGCTAGCACTCTACCACTTGAGCCACAGCACCACTTCCACCTTTTTCTGCTTATGTGGTGCTGAGGAATCAAACCCAGGGCCTCATGCAGAAGGCAAGCGCTCCACCACGGAGCCACCTTCCCAGCCCCGGTTCCTGTCTTTAATAACAAGCTGTGCTTGTGTTTATGTCTTAGGACGAGCCCACAAGTACCTGCAGACTCATTCTGCTCACCAGGCCCAGGGACTTGGCTATCTTCCTCATCCTCCTCTTTGTGGCTGAGATACTTTCTTCTTCAGACATGCCCATTTAAGAGCTATAGCTTCTAGGAGTCACACTGTCTAAATTTCCCCATCGTACAGGCAAGAAAACTGAGCCCCAGCAGTAACTCTCTGCCCAAGGTGACACAACTGAAAGCCTTCCACTGCAGATTCTTTTCAGGAATATCTTGCCCAGTCACATTCTACAGTGCAGCCACCAAATGGCTGGCACCCATACCCCGGGCTTGAAGTTCAGTTCCTGTGATCTGACCCAGGAATTCCAGAGAAGTGAGACTCGTACCCTTCAGTGACCTCTGAGCTCTGGGTCTTTGTCATTGAAAGATAAAACTGTGACCAGTTTCTTTCCCTGCTTGCCAGACAATTGAGGACTATTTTGGGATGTGTAAGTCACAGTAGGCTGCCTGAATGAAAATGTTTCACCTCTAAAAATAAATATTTTCAAATCCAAGTTTCATGAACAAGTGAGTTACAGGAACAGGCATGAAGCCACTTCCCTAAGTCAGCTTAAATCCTCAGCTCAAATTCATCAGATAATAGCATCTTACTATTTTTCCAGCCTGTGGTATTTGAAACTGAAAGCACACATTTTCCAATCAATGCCTAGGATCCCAAGGCCATCAGCTGAAAGATGATACAAGTTATTCAGACATAGTTACACTTACTTTAAAGAGAAAAAAAAATATTGAAAAGCCTTCAGAAAATGGACTGCCCTCAGCCAGACAGACACTTTCTGATGAGCTTGTCATATGCAGCCCCGGCCACATCAGTTCCAGTCACACTCTGAGCCAAGATGTGTGGGCTCGGAGGAGAGGGAGGAGAGCAGGTGGGAAGGGAACCGTAACGGGCAAAACCAGAGCCCTGCTCAGTTCAGCGTCTTCCAGGAGAAGGTAGAGGTGAAGGTGCAGGTGTCCATAGACTACAGGGTGACAAGCACGCCTCCAGCTCTCAGTGTCCAGAGCCATAGCCTCTAGGTTTATAAGTTGATCCCATGAACCTCTATGCCCAGATCTGCTTATAGGGATTGGCCCCCGGTCACTGTCTCTTGTCCCCCCAAATGCTGGCTTCAAAATCTAAATTCCTGGAGGGCTCTGAAAAGCCACAGGTTACGGCAGGGCCCTTGTCAGCCTGAAGCCAGGCTGTTTTGTGTCACATTTATTCACACTTAGGTCCTAGGTCTCCAGAGAGGTTTTGGTGGCTCTCCAGAAACACAAGGTCCTACAGGCCCCCAGCAGTTCAGAGCCCAGATCGAGGCTCACTCTAGAAAGAGAGTTCTCAGCAGTGGTCAGCAAGGTCTGTACACACGCTACAGCCTGCCCTCTTAAGACGTGTCTTTGACAGCGTTTGTTTAAGAACGTAGCCTGTCGATGACATGTCCACAGTAGGGTGGTGCCGCGCCCTCTGACCGGCATCTCTGGAGCATGAAAATGTAAGCCTCCTCTGGGGTGGGCTGAGGGGCAGCAGCGCCCTGTTCCCTGTCCTGCCACTGCCATCTCTGTGGCCGAATGTCTCCCTACCAGTGCTGCCAATGTGAAGAAGTGGGAGATCGAGCTGCAGACCCTGAGAGAGAGCAATGCCCGGCTGACCACGGCGCTGCAGGAGTCTGCAGCCAGCGTAGAGCAGTGGAAGAGGCAGTTCTCCATCTGCAGAGACGAGAATGACCGGCTCCGAAGCAAGGTGGGCCTGGCCCGGGAGGAGGCAGTGGGCTGACTGGGCAGGGCCCTCTCTCCTCCCTCACCCTTGCTCTCACCTGGCTCTCATCCCCACGGGCAGGACGGCGGCTTGTTGCCTTCCCTCGGAATATCCTGCCACCTCCATGCCCTTCTTACAGGAACTCAGCCATCTACACCCCTGCCTTACTGCCTTTCCACTAACAGTTGTGTAGCACTGTTGCTGAGGAGAGCTGAATAACCTGGAGTTTGTGGCATGTCTGTGTCCTCCATGCCAGCCATGGGCTGCTTTTGTTTGCAGTGGCCTCCTCCAGGTTCCTCCAACTTCATGGTCAGGGATCCAGAGAAGAGAGAAAATAGATGCAGAGCTGGGCACCGGTGGCTCACGCCTGTCATCCTAGCCACTCAGGAGGCTAGATATGAGGATCCCGGTTCAAAGCCAGCCCAGGCACGAAAGTCGATGAGACTCTTTATCTCCAATAATCCACCAGAAAACCAGAAGTAAGCTGGGAAGGTGGCTCAGTGGTAGAGCGCTTGCCTTGCATGCATGAGGCCCTGGGTTCGATTCCTCAGCACCACATAAGCAGAAAAAAAAAAAAAGAACCATGGAAGAAGAAGAAGAAGAAACAGAAAACTGGAAGTGGCTCTGTGGCTCAAGTGGTAGAGCACTAGCTGTGAGCTGAAGAGCTGAGGTACAGCGCCCAGGCCCAGAGTTCAGGCCCCACGACCGACCACAGAAAAAGAAAATAGATACAGGGCATGGGGAAGAGCTTCCATCCAAATCTCTTACTCCTTCCTTCTTCCCTCCCTCCCTTCCTCCCTCTCTGCCTCCCTCACTTCCTACCTTCCTTTCTTCCTCCGTCCCTTCTTCCTTTCCTCCCTTCCTCCCTTCCTCCCTCCCTTCTTTCTTCCCTTCTTCCCTTCCTCTTTTCTGTCCGTCCTTCTTCCCTCCCTCTTTCACTGGGGTATGACCTCATGTCATTTTTCCAGCTGTGTTGAGTGCTGACCATCAGAGGCAGCAGGCCAGCTGTTGACTTCTCATGTCTCTGTCAGGCCTGGCGGATCTACCTGCCAGAGGGACTGATTGACCTGAGCTCTGGCCCTGGCCCTGCTGGTTTTAAGGAGGGCATCCTGTGCACACAGGACAGAAGCCCCATGGGGGGCTGTGTTCATAGCCACAAAAGAACTTTTATTTTTGGGGGGAGCAGAGGTTTATTGGGGCCAGCAAGGTCTCAGCCTTTGCCACAGCCTTCCTCATGGCGGCCAGCACGCTGCTCAGCTCCTCGCACTTCCTCTGGGCGCAGATGTGTGTCCCCACCCATTTCTTGATGAACTTGAGCACCTGCTTGTTTTTGGACACCTTGAGCAGCTCCATGACATGCTGCTCATACAGGGTAAAGCCACACACCTCACAGATCATGTCCTGCATGAACTTGGTGTGTGCTTGGTAGCGCATAGCCGTGGCTGCCGTTTTCCAATGGCTGCTGCGGCAGAACCAAAATTTTATATTTTAAAAGAAAGCAGCTGGGTGTCAGTGGCTCACACCTGTAATCCTAGCTACTCAGGAGGCTGAGATCTGAGGATCGTGGTTAGAAGCCAGCCTGGACAGGAAAGTCTGTGAGACTCTTATCTCCAGTTAACTACTCAAAAAAGCTGGCAGTGGAGCTGTGGCTCAAGTGGCAGAGCACTAGCCTTGACCAAAAGAATCTCAGGGAGAGTGCCCAAGCCCTGAGTTCAAACCCCAGGACCAGCATAAAAGAAGAAAGAAAGAAAGAAAAAAAGAAAGAGAGAGATGGTAGTGAGCTCTTGTTTAATGACTAAAGTAGCCCAGCTTCCTTGCCTTAATATCTGTGCTTTATTAAAGATCGATGAGCTAGAAGAACAGTGCAGTGAGATAAACAGAGAGAAGGAGAAGAATACCCAGCTGAAGAGGAGAATCGAGGAGCTGGAATCAGAACTCAGAGAGAAGGAGACGGTGAGTAACAGAGCGAACAGGCTTCTCAGGGCCTTTGGGGTGACCTCCACCCATGGCAGGTGGTCTGTGGTGTGACCCTGGCCCCAGCAGCTACCTGGACACCAGGTCAAGATCATAGCACGATGCATGGATACTGCACCTCTCCTCTCAGACCCAGGAGTGAGTCCAACTTCACAGAACCGTTGGGTAATGCTTACAGTCATCCGAATTTGAGTTCTGTTATCAAATTAATGCAGCTAGAGCAATAGCTGTGATACAGTCGTTCTGTATATTCTGGAATGGAGAACAGTTAATATGTCATCATATTCTGGGAGGTAGAGCAGTTAACTCCACACACAGTGGAGACCGTGGGCAAGTTACCAAACTGCTCTGGGCCTCGATTTTCCCTCTGTAAACAAGAACTACAACCTCAGGTGCTCTGCAGACCTCATGTGGTCATCAAGCCCTTGGAGTCACCTGAAGTTTCAGAATAGTGCTGTCACCATTCCTGCTCATGCAGACATGACATCTTCTAGCAGTGTCCTCCGTCAGTATATGTACAAGTTGACGGTCTTCACGAACGCATCTTTTCTCTCTTTTTTTGATGGTACTCATGATTGAACTAGAGCTTCATGCTTTCCAGACAGGCACTTTTACTTAAGTCACACTGTCAGGGGCGGGGTCTTGTTTTATGCTCTGGCCAGGCTTGTGTTTCCCCCTGTCCCAAGGATGACAAGTGTGCCTCTCTGTTTCCAGACATTGGTTGACAAGTTGTCCCACAAACTCTTCTTCCCTGGCCAGGCTTGATACATCACACCTGATTTCCTTGTATGTTCTTTTTCAAATCTCTGTCTCCCATAGGAGTTGAAAGATCTCCGGAAACAAAGTGAAATTATACCTCAGCTCATGTCAGAGTGTGAATATGTGTCTGAGAAGTTAGAGGTAAGGGGGGATGGGATACCTGTCCTGGAGCAGCGAGATGTCGGTTGGCATGCTACCGGTTACTGCTCTCCCTCTCCCGTCTCACCTAAGACGGCAAAGAGTTATTTTCTAATATAAAAGGCCAGCAGTAATTGCATGCCATCCCTGCCCCTGGGGATAGCTCAACAGTGCTGGTACAAAGAAGTCCTGTGCATAATTGTAGTGTGGACAATTATCTGTTGAGTAGGCCTTCCTCTCTGGCCTTGGCTTGCTGATCCACAAAACGAGGCTTTTCAGGCCCTCCTTTACTCCCAGGATCTCCCATACAAATACAATGAGTGCTTTACTGAGTTGCCCAGCACCAGGACTGTATTGGTGAATGATTCCTGGGTGCATTTCAAGAAAATCCCAGTTTATACACACCAAATACAGCTAAGGCTCTCTGAGGACTCGCAGCTGCCCTGCCCTTGGTAGCTGGAGCCCTGTGTACCGCGAGCCTGGACTGGGCTGTGGGATCCAGCGCTGCAGAATGCCTGGTGAGGGCGTCGGAATGCACAGACTGCCTGTTCCTCTCAGGGTGGGACTGCCGACCACTCTGGGGTGGGGCTGAATGTCTTGAGCCCAGATGTCAAAGCTTCTCTGCTGGGCCCTTGGTGATGATTCTGGGCAGGACTCTGTAATCTGTGTTCCAAGGTGGGACTTTGTCACCCACCCACTGCCTCTACCAGGCAGGATAAAGGAACCTTCTGCCACCAATGTCTGCTCCTCCCTACTGACCTAGCAGCCACAGGCTCGGGTGTTAAGGGGTCTGATTTGCCCCCTGAGGTCTTAGGTCCCTGCCCAGACCCACAGGTTTGATGGTGAATGATTGGTCTGGCTCTGGCAGGTTTCAGTGGATGGCTCTGCTCCACACTCTCCTTTGTTCCAGACCCTTCTTCAAATGGGTGTTGAAGGGGTCACAGCTTCGTGTGTCCGTTCATGTGTCTGGTGCTTCGTGACCAGCCAGCCACCCTTCAAATGGGTGTTGAAGGGGTCACAGCTTCGTGTGTCCGTTCATGTGTCCGGTGCTTCGTGACCAGCCAGCCACCCTTCAAATGGGTGTTGAAGGGGTCACAGCTTCGTGTGTCTGTTCATGTGTCTGGTGCTTCGTGACCAGCCAGCCACCCTTCAAACGGGTGTTGAAGGGGTCACAGCTTCGTGTGTCCGTTCATGTGTCTGGTGCTTCGTGACCAGCCAGCCACCCTTCCCATCCTGCTCCCGCTTGCACCTGCCCCTCCCCTAGACGATTCACGTTTCCCATGTCCTGTAGGCAGCAGAGAGAGACAATCAAAACCTGGAAGACAAAGTGCGGTCTCTAAAGACGGACATCGAGGAGAGTAAATACAGACAGCGTCACCTGAAGGGGGAGCTGAAGAGCTTCCTGGAGGTGCTGGACGGAAAGATCGACGACCTCCATGACTTCCGGAGGGGGCTCTCCAAGCTGGGCACTGACAACTAGGGTCTGGCTCCACGGATCAGACTGTGAGTCCCAAGTGTGTGTGACACTGTCAGGACCAGACATCCTCCCGTTTGCATTGTTTCTGTAAATTCAGGTGCAGTTTTTTGTGTTTCCAAACCAGTTGTGCCGTCCACCCACTCCTCTCCAGCATAGAAATCTCTTGCTTCTCTGGCCTTGTGAGGTTGTGGACAACTGGAAGACTCTGACTCAGGAATCTAGAACTAGTCTACCTTAAGCGCTCATGCAGTCAGGGCAGGGATGTTTGTATCTTCCTTCCTTAAGGGCTGTTGCAACCCTATGAACTGGAGGAAAAATTATTTTCTTATCCAAATATTAATATCCTGTGTACAACAGCCATTTTCCTTTCATTGAATAGCATTAGCTCAATCAAGGAGGGCAGGGAGACAGCCACTTCTGTCGGTAAACACTGGGGGCTCTTCAGTGACCCCTCAGCCGAGGCTCTAGGAGAAAGGAACGAGTCTCTGGTAGTTCCTGTCCTGGCAGGCACTAGCATGGTTGCGCCGGTTCTTCTGTTTGTATGGCTGCAACAACGTTCCTCTTCTGGGTTTTCATTTCTGAACAGATTCTGTGCTGTGAGAACAGCCGGTAGGGAGGGCGCCTAGCACAGTGCCTGGCAGGGTCGGTGCTCAATAAATACTTGCTCAACTAAGCACAGGAAGAGAAGTGTTTTCATCACACCCTCAGCAGAATTCAGAGCCCTGTGAGTGAGTCACCGTCGCCTGTGTGCTAGGACATCTCCAGAACGTAGACGTGACTAGCAGGGGTCATACCCAGCTGCTCTGGGGTAAGGTGGGTGGTAATGGGGAATACAGGGGCTGATCTGACGCCCCCAAGAATCCTCTAAAGGTCATTTGCCCTGTGACCACCACCTTCACCCTGAGGAACCCAGGACACTGGCTGGCCGTAGTATAGAGGCTGGTTAGGACTTAGGAGCTGGCATGCTTGGATAGGCCCGCAAGGCGGAGGGAGTTGCTTCGCTGGGGAGCCTTGGCCTCAGTGACAGGGAAGCTCTCCCCGGTCTTCCTCTGGCTTCCCCATCCTGCTGTGGAAGGGTAGAGCCATGAACCTCTCCTGCCACCTGGAGTTTCTCTGAGGACTTTGGGTGCCACTGGTTCTGCATTGGGAGCCCGCCTTTGCAGAGGAGGACATTTCCTGTCCCTGGCCCCACATATGGCTAAATGCCTTGGGCAGGAGAGAACTCTGCCCCACGCTCTCCCTATACTGAGAACCACCCAAGAGAACTTCTTCTAAAAACATCCTTGCAGGGTTTGAAGTGCTTCTTGCTGAATTTGGGCTAAGGGGAGGGGAATGGGGTTCATACAGCTCTGACCCAGATCTCCAGGTGGATATCTAAGCTCTTGGCTCTCCTTATGCTGGTTGAGATGTCTCTTTGAACAAGGAAGTCTCCTTTGATAGGCAAGGAGGGAAAGCTGGCATGTGGAGTGCGGTGGCACCCCCGCAGCTTGGGGGAGAGTTGAGTCAGCCGTGTGGTCATTCAGGCTGCTGCGCAGCCCCCGGGCTCTCAGGACGCCATAGCAGCTCCCTGTGCCTGCACCTGGAGACCCGAGCCGGGGCCAGCCATGAGTCTGTCCCGTGGCCCCAGCATGGAGGAGAGGGTTGTTCCTGAGCCAGCTGGCCCATCATCTGTCAGCAGCCTAGCACTGACCTGTGGCTGCCTGGGACCCCTGGACCCCTGGACCCCAGACACTTCCCACGTGGCTGCCCGGGACCCCTGGACCCCAGACACTTCCCACGTGGCTGCCCGGGACCCTGGACCCCAGACACTTCCTAGGTGGCTGTCTGGGACCCCTAGACTCCAGGACCCCAGATATTTCCCACATGGCTTCCTGGGAGCACAGGACCCCAGACACTTCCCACGTGGCTGCCCAGAACCCCAGAACCCCTGACACTTCCCGCTTGGGCTCTGGTGACTGCAGCTCAGGTACAGGTTGACTTACTGATGCAGAAGGAACTCTCGGCTAACTGGAGACCGCTGTAGGTGACCTGGTTGTAGGAAGGCAGCTGCTGAGGACATTTGTGCGTTCCCGTAACAGTGACAGGAGAAAATGCCGCCAGTGAAGTGTAGAAAGTGCTGAAGTTTCCAGACCGTTGGCCTTGTTCATCACTCACTGGAGAGTCTGCTGCAGCAGCAGGTGAGGCGCTCACAGTCCCCGCGCTGGGCCCGACTGCACGGCTGGAGGGTCCCCTCCGCCAGGGCTCCCCCGAGCGGCTGAAGGAAGGGTCCCCTCCGCCAGGGCTCCCCCGAGCGGCTGGAGGGTTCCCTCTGGCAAGAGGAGGGGACCAGGTTCCACAGAAGCACAATACTACTCAAGCGCTGAACTTTCCATTAAGGCTCAGAACAGCTTAGACAGTCAGCAATGGGCTGGTCCTCCCGACAGCCTGGAGCACTGACTGACCTGCACTGAACAGTGGACTCGGTGGGATGGATGAATGCGCTGAGTTGGGTTTCCACTTGAGCCGGGGTGGCATGCTGCTTGGTCATGGCCATCATGACCAGCTCAAGGCCAGCATCATGCTGCCCAGAAGACGGAGAGCCAGGCCCTCACTGTGCGCTTCCAGATGTGCTGCTCTGGTGTTGACATCACAGAGGCTGGCTGTGTAGAGACCAAGGCCATCTCTCTACTCTTTTTTTCTTTTTGATTGGTCGGGTTTGAACTCAGGTCTGGGCACTATCTCTCAGCTATTTTGCTCAAGGCTAGTGCTCTACCACTTCGAAGCTACAGCACCACTTCTGGTTTTTGAATAGTTTATTGGAGATAAGAGTCTCCTAGGGACTGGCCTCAAACTGCAATCCTCAGATCTCAGCCTCCTGAATAGCTAGAATTACAGGTGTGAGCCACCAGCACCCAGCAATCTCTGCACTCTTAAGCCATACAACTATCCCTTCTTGTCAACATACCTAAGTGGGGGCTGGAGATGAGACTCCTTCCAGTGCCTAGGGATGGAAAATCACTGGTCACAGATCAGACCCAGAGGGGAAAGAGAACCAAGTCCAGTGTGGCCCGGCAGGCCTCTCCCCGGCGCCATCACATTAGACTGCAATCGGGTGAGTGAACCAGACAGATTGTGGTCTGACTTGCAGGATGCAGAGGCAAGAGGAAGTGGTATGGTCAGCATCACCAGCTCCACCCAGACCCCTGAGCCTCCGAGCTCCGGGTTCCTGCCTGAGCCAGGCCGCTGTCCTCTTCTCCTGGACACACTTTTCAGTTGCTCTGTTTTAGTGTGTGTCCATAGGAAAGGACCACTTACCAGGAGCCAGTCAGAATTACATTTATGTGCGTTATAAATGCTAACTTCCAGACCCAGTGTGGTAGCACACATCTGGACTTTTAGCATTCAGAAGACTAAGCAGGAGGTAATGATTTCCAGACTAGCTCTATAGTCTACAGGATGAGACCCTGTCTCAAAACGCCCATCTCTCAACACAGGAAAGACAAATAGTAATACCTTTTTTTTTTTTTTGTCAGTTGTGGGGCCTGAACTCTGGGCCCGGGCGCTGTCCCTCAGCTCTTCAGCTCAAGGCTACCGCTCTAACACTAGAGCCACAGTGCCACTTCTGGTTTTCTGGTGGCTTTTTTTTATTTATTTTAATTTTTTTCTGGTTGTGGGGCCTGAACTCTGGGCCTGGGCGCTATCCCTCAGCTCTTCAGCTCAAGGCTAGCGCTCTACCACTTGAGCCACAGCGCCACTTCCGGCTTTTTTCTTTTTGCTTATGTGGTGCTGAGGAATCGAACCCAGGGCCTCATGCATGCAAGGCAAGCACTGTACCACTGAGCCACCTTCCCAGCCCTCTGGTGGCTTATTGGAGATAAATGTCTCACGGACTTTCCTGCCTGGGCTGGCTTCAAATGGCGATCCTCAGATCTCAGCCTTCTGAGTAGCTAGGATTACAGGCGTGAGCCACCAGTGTACAGCAGTGATTCTGTTTTTTAAATGATCTTTGTAGGGATATTTCTAAGAGTGCCTATGCTTTGAGGGGCTAGTTCAATGGTACAGACTTGGTTATAGTTAAGTGCTGGCTCTAGTGGAGGAGTAACAGCTTGAAGAGGTAGAAGGCTGGGACTGCAGTGAGACAGAACTGTAGCCAGGGCATCCCAGTCCAGGAGCTGAGCCAGTGTTGGGAGGAGCAGATATGCACAGCGCTTAGAGCAGGCTCTGTATACCCAGGAAGACAGTCCCCAAGGGCCTCGGGCTCCGCCTGAGGCTCCACTAGCACAGGCTTCCTGCCCGGCTGATGTACCACCAGGTACTGTGATGGACATAAGACGTCAGCGGAGCTGACGTACAGCTGCCGCCCCGCCCAGGAGCCTCACAGAAAGAGCTCCTTCTCCACACACGTCTCCTTTGCTGTAGAAACCGGGGGCAGTTTGGGTGAGAGTCAACCAGGAGGTGTGCCAGAGACCCCACTTGTGGCCAGGGGCAGCCTTGGAAAGAAGGCAGCCATGATGTGACAGGGTAGACCCCTGAGAGAGGCCCGCCTTCCAGAGGGGCCAGCCGTCACTCTGCTAGTAACGGAACCAGGGTCTCCTCTGGTATCCATCTTTTAAGTTACCATTCTTCGGTTCATTGGAACTATCATTGAGTGTGTGTGTGTGTGGTGTGTGTGTATGTACACGTGCACACGCAAGAGAGAGAGAGAATTGTGGGGACCCTGAGCCCTTTTGCTCAAGGCTAGCACTCCACTGCTTTGAGCCACGGCTCTACTTCTGGATTTCTGGGGGTTAATTGGAAATAAGAGTTTCACAGACTTTCCTGCATGGGCTGGATCTCAGCCTCCTGAGTAGCTAAGATTATAGGTGTAAGCCACCAGCACCCCACACAATCGTTGAATTTTAAATCACTCGCAATGTAATCTAGAACTTCCATATATATTCCTAAATAACAGTCATAGTGTACACAGACCTGCTTTCTAGGTACACGGCTTCCCCAAAGAGAGTGGAGAGTGGGAGTGGTGGGGGTTGTACACAATGCGTGTTGTCTACATGCATTTCTTATCACCTGTCTCCTCCTGAGAGAGGCCTGGTCAGAGGGTGGCTGAAGTATGAAACGTTCTTGGAACCTCAGGACGTGTGTGTGTGCGCGCGCGCGCGTACGCCTGCATGCGTGCATGCGTGGGGATGGGGACTGTAGCTGATTCTGGTGGTGGTGGTGTATGTTCTGGAGTGCATTTATAAGCAGAGAAGTTTGCTGGTGTGGCGCTCACGGCAGTGTGGGCTCCCAGGCTGAGGGACATCCGTGGGGTGCATTGCTATCCCCACTCTCCTGTGTGCTTCTAACGGAAACCCCAGCTTCATGGGAGAGTGTCTCCTGGTGTAACAGGCAAGAAGGCACTTGTGATATCAGATGTAAAAGTTCAGTGATAAGTATGGGGTGCATAAGTGGAATCTCCCAGAAGTATCACTGTTTTTCTCTTTAAAAAGCTTTCTTGTGGTATGTAGGTGATACCTTCTTTAAAAAAAAAAAAAGAAAAGGAAGTAAACATGAATGAAAAGAAAAAAACCATCTGTTATCACACTGATTATAACCGCTGTTAGGTTTTGGGTTCACACTTTTCTCTGTGCACATGCATTGCA